ATGTTCTTGTGATGGTTCTTGTGATGGTTCTTATGATGGTTCTGTGATGGTTCTTGTGATGGTTCTTATGATGGTTCTTATAATGGTTCTTGTGATGTTCTTGTGATGTTCTTATGATGGTTCTTGTGATGATTCTTGTGATGGTTCTTGTGATGGTTCCTATGATGGTTCTTGTGATGGTTCTTGTGATGTTCTTATGATGGTTCTTGTGATGGTTCTTGTGATGGTTCTTATGATGGCTCTTCTGATGGTTCTTGTGATGGTTCTTATGATGGTTCTTGTGATGGTTCTTGTGATGGTTCTTGTGATGGTTCTTATGATGGTTCTTATGATGGTTCTTGTGTTGCCTGGGTTCTTATGATAGTTCTTGTGATGGTTCTTGTGATGGTTCTTGTGATGGTTCTTGTGATGGTTCTTGTGATGGTTCTTGTGATGGTTCTTATGATGGTTCTTATGATGGTTCTTGTGTTGCCTGGGTTCTTATGATGGTTTTTGTGATGGTTCTTATGATGGTTCTTATGATGGTTCTTGTGATGGTTCTTATGATGGCTCTTCTGATGGTTCTTGTGATGGTTCTTATGATGGCTCTTCTGATCCGTAGTCAGACGTGTTATCCATTGTATCCATGTGAAATACATGCTGAGATCTGTGGATCGAATCCTGTGTGATACTAACTCGATGTGATTATCATATTATCAATACTGTATATTGATATTTCAAAATCAAATATCCAAACCCTTATGCAAATGAACGATTGCCTAATGTCATCATGAACACAACGACATGTGTTTAGTACCCCGAACTCATAAATTTATTTAACAAGAAACAGTTCAGGATAGAAATGACATTATAGACTTTCAGTTTATGTAACAAAATTCTGCACAAACCAATTCAGTGTAATAAATCTACAGGAAAAAAGCAGTAGTAACAGTAGCAGCAATTATAATGGCTATCGTAGGCCTTTGTAAAAATCTATTAATTTGGGACATTAAACCAGAAAAAAAACAAATGTATTTGTATATTACATGTTAGAATTATATTTTTGGGGTTTAATAGGCCTTTCATCATAGTCTGCAACATCTACAACTATTAT